CTGAAGAACCTCTAAGCCGAGATTACATTTAAGATTTCTTCTCAATTTCAGGCGTTCAAAATCAAAATCAATTTCTCTTTCTTACTTGAGGCTCTCAATCCATTTTTCATTGAATATGAATACCGAATGTCATTAGGGTAGCAATTAGAAAGCTTTGTCAGTGTCAGGCTTAGTGCAAACCATGGTCCCAAACGACAGACATCGTTAAAATAATCTAGTGACGTAATACTTGCTCAGGGATTCGCTTCTTGTAGACATGTGGACAGAGCACTTTCAATCCTGGTGTGTTTGATTCAACGCAGTTTGTTGCAAAGTGTAATCCAATTGCCGCCGTAACATGTTCTCATTGACCAGAACATTACAGCCCATGATCATGTAGCTTGTGCCAAGTGTCGTTCAAATCTCGTATGACTTTACGCGTCGTTAACATTCGTACGTTTTGACACAAGGAGCCTAAAAACTCTAGGAAGCTGGAATCTCAACTTCGATAACACTGAAGTGGTCTGGTGGCTTCTTCCAAAACTTGATGACTCTGAGACCGGCCGAGTCAAGCAAAGCCATCCACTGCTTTTCAGTGCGTTCTTTCCCAGATAGATACACCATCATGGCTATATCAAATGCTGTAGTATTCATCTGGCTCTTTTCGTCGTCTAAGACCTGGTCATGAATGAGCAATCTGCTGTAGCCAGGTTTCATGGCGCCTTTCTGCATCTCTAGTATCTTCAGGGCCGAATGGTCGGGCCAATCATGGATTATATGGTGCATGTAATATGCACGAGCGTCTGTATCACAAGTCAGCACCAGTTCCGTACAAAGCGGTTTGTATAGCTAACGTTTCACTGGTTGTGGCTCGAAAAAGCTGTATTCCACCTGCTTTACCGTGTTGGGAAGGAGCGCTTTATCCTTCGCATCACTAATGACTGATTGGAGATCCTCGAGGTATAACCTCGAGCCTTCGTTGGGGTAAGCTTTGTAAAAACGTAAGAGATCATGCCCAATCCCGCCGCCAATATCGACAAGAAGTGGAAGGCTTGAATCTGATCCATCAACCAAGTTACGGTGAGGGTACATATCCATCCACGGTGGCTCTTTGTTGGTGGACGCCTTTTGTACGATATTGAACATCTCACCTATTTTCGGATTCCCGCTCAGAAAGGACCACAGGTCTCCGGTGTGCCCAGTAGATTTCCGTAAGATTGTGTCAGCAGGATCAGAGGGATCCTTGTACCCTTTTTCTGCCAGATGGTCGGGCAAAGTACCATATGCACGGTGGCCAGTCACGTAACTGTGGGGCTTATAAGTATGTAAAATCACTTCGGTTTGATCGTGCCACTCACTAGAAGTTTGTGAGAGTGTGGAAGTCTGGCTTTGATAGTTCCATGCAGAACTGGTTCGGTTTGAACTTTTCTACTGGAACTTGTTCCATAAGACCATTCGCAGCTAAGCTACGGAGAAACCTATCTACAGCCAATCTGTCAGCAGTGTCCGAAAATGATTCCAAGTACCCAAGTCTATCACCGATGAGACTTACGAAGAAGCTGAGGATCACAGCTCCCCACAAGGCCTGCGAGCTGAGCACTCGTCATCGGGACAAATCCTTGTTCTTTCCACTTCATCATCAACTTCAAGTCTTTGATGATTTTTATCCCCGCGGTAACAGCAGGCTAAAACTGAGTCAGCACTTCATGATATATCGAAATCTCGTCTGCGTGTTTCTTGGGCCTCACCTGATTTAAATGAATTCTGACATATGTGTCCCAGGGGGTCTCCAGCTTAGACAGAACTTCATACGTTGCTAGAAGTGCCTTCATGCGATCCTCCTCTGTCTGAAAAGAAGATGCTGTGATACCCCCAACCGCTCGCAGGTAGTCTTGGCCGTAGTTAGATCCGACATTCATGCCATTGATTCCATCCTCTCTCGAAGCCATGATGTCTGATTTAATATTTCGTATGAGCGTGAAATAAGTGAAGTTGATACTTAGTGAGTTGAGTCGAATCCTGCCACTGCTAGGGTACTTATTTGGTCGGTGAAAAGGATATCATATGTATATATATACGGTAAACCATAAAACAATGATCAGCACCCAACTAGCCACGGCCTAAACTTCCTGAACCAGCCCACAACAACAAGAACCGGCGACGGATATTTTCACACGACCGCGCTACCCCAAGCGGAAGAGATAAGCCTTCGCGCGCCTTCGCTTTCGAGCCTGGGGCCGAACCTCATCCAAGAGCATACTACCTATTTTCCGAGTCCAGTCACATTTTCACCGCTGCATCCGGAAGCCCGTCCAAGAGACGATCTCTAGTGTACTTAACGCTTAAACGACATTGAGCAATCAGAAAGCTTCATCGCTGTGTAGATGTCAGCCGGCACGCTAAGCTTACCTTGAAATGGCAGGGACCTTGAGTTGGATGTTTCGCTTGGCAACTTTATCCAGACGTGTGGTATGACAGAGCGCAGAGCTGCCAACCAAATTACAAGATGAGATGTCGCACAGACTCTCGTCTTAAGAAACTCAAACTGTCTGATGATATGTGACCCAACATTAGCTACGTAGATGGCAAGCGCAAAGGCAGCTAGTTCGTGATCTTTCACGTGAATATGAAGACCTTTCGAACTAAAATGGTCAGCGCGATTACCAAGGGACGACCCGAGGCTAGGGCATTTGCTATTTGTCTTATTAATAGTGCGTACAAGCAATAGCAAGGTGATCGTACCTCGAATCCGCATAATATCAATTGCCGCTGCCCCTTCAGAAAAAGCACATCCGGCGGTTTCTCAATATCAGATGGAAGCCCAGGTCTTTGGTCGATTGAATGCAGAGATTATCTAGCACTCATTTAGGGCGCGAAAAGCGCTGGCCGCACGGGGGGAAAATGATGTCATTTGATTGCAGAAGGTTCCATCAGTACCCTCGCATCAGTTCACAGTTTGTGCTCGCTCTCGAATCGAGAGAATAGCCTTGAAAACGTGCCATACCCGCAGTCATATTCTTGACGTTTTCATGCGGGTTAATACGGTGCTTCTCGAATCTTCTGGGAAAACACGTTCGCACGCCCACGCCTCTGTATCTCTGGTAAGTTGAAAAAGGAATTACATTAATGTAGGTATGAACATCACACTGCAACATCTGGTACTTTCCGCCAAGTACCTTCATTATATTTTAGTTGTTAGTACTAACATTATTATTCTTAGCAGCCGGATGCCTCACAGCACATCCTCGACAAAAATTGGACAATGGTATCAATGAACAAGACGATCAAAAACAGAGATTGACTAACGAGGACTAGTTCTAGAAATCGTGGGAAATTGGGTTTTAGTAATCGATACTTGCGATATTGTCATTGCTCTATATAACTTTATTTTCCCCAGGTTGTCCCATCTCCAAATCTAAAGCTTTCATAATGAAGGCACCAGATACATGGCTTAAGCTATAGAACATGGAAATCGAAGGTGGATCAAAACACGAGGGCATGTGTTTGTTATGGTCGTGTTGATTTTCGCTTTCCGATGATTACGAGCTAACGGCCAGTGCTGATTGTGGTGCGAAGATTCATCACATGTAATGTTCCAAAAGGTCCAAACAAGACGGAGGAAGAAGACCAGGAGGAGCATGCTAAGACGAATCGGAAAGTTCACTTACAACGGAATAATACATGTCACAGCACAGATTCGAAAAGTGTCGCTGTGGTGGAATAGCTTGAGGTTGGTTTGGGAATCTAATTATAAGATTTTCTGCTGATATTCTAATTCAGAGTCCAGGTGAAGAGATACCAGGCTACGACCCAGTCCACCGGTTACCATATGGGAAGTCTTGATAACCAAGGTTGCCGTATGTTCAATTTCATCCCTGCTAGATTCGCATACCATAAAGCTTTATTGAACTCTTGACTTTGACTACCTCGAACCTATATCATACATGTTTATGAGAGGGATGATTTTAGATGAACTTAACTCGTCGCGAGCCATGTCACAGGCGCTGCAACCCAATGATTCAGTATCATCATTCCCCTGTTGCTCCCACTCGGCACATGGAGGTTGACTGGAGAAGTTGGGGCAATCTGGGGAAGTTTTGGCATACGGCATACCGGCATACCGGCAATCAGGACATGGCACATGCAGGGCTTTATAGACTCGCGAAACCGAGAAGATAAACAGGGATAACGCTCTATTATCTTGATCAACATCGAAGTATGGCCAGATGGAAGAAGTCTACAGTGTATTCGAGCACCGATCTACCACGTGCTGTTTGTTAACTAGCATGGCACAACCTTGGAATCGAGAGTTCTATCCTGCAGCCTGTGCCAAGGTGGAATCGCATGATGTTAACTTTTGGAACTACCCCAAAGCAGTCAACAGATTGTCCTACGCCCTGGGAATGCCAACAATTTGTTCGCAGTTTTTGTCGCTGAAATACCTAATGCAGGAGCTGCTCATCGCCACCGCCGAGTGAGAGAACCATCCAATTGATATTGGCAGACAATTCTGTTGCCCTAAATATGGATTGTGGAGCTATTACTCCAAGTATATGTAGGGAGCCGCAAACAATACTGCACCGTATTACTTAAGCCTGTTTCCGCTCCAGAAAAAATTCTGTCGGGGTAACTGTCTAAGCACATTTCTGACTGGCATATATGTGACTCGGGTGGTTTTCATTGTTTGGGGGGGGGGGGGGGTTGTGAGTATCTACATCGGGGAAGACCCCAGAGACCACTGAAGTTGGTGAAGTTTACTTCCACATGCTCGGACCTAGCCAGCCTGGATCAAGGTGACAGGCCCTTGCTAGGATAGCGTTCAATACAAGAAGTTTCAATCTTCCCTTTTCTTGGACTGAATTGTTCCCCAGGTTCAAATAAAAGTCCAAGCTGCTACCTACCTTATTCATACAAGTATTCCTTGTGTTCACCTTAGCCAACAACATCGGAGCCCCGGACTAGCTTCGATGATAACGAAATAGACAGCCGGCAGAGCAGCTGGCTCGCACATCGGACACATCATGGAGATCAACCCGACTCTCTTGGAAATATGGACTTTGTATGCTGTTGCGACTTTGATGATTGCGGCGAGGGTATTTTGCCGCACGAAGCAAGTGGGCGTGTCTGGATTTCGACCTGACGATTACATCATCTTCTTCACATGGGTATACCCTATCTTGCTGTCACTGGGATGGATCCGATTTCGACTTACACCATGGCAGTCTCTCTACACTTCTGTATGCGTGATGGCAACGCTCTTCGCGCTGATTGCCCAAGGCAAACACACCTCGCTCCTGACCCCGGAACAGCGCGCGACATTGCCAGAATCAGAATTGTATGTGCGAAGGAAACCTTTTGTTCTCAACAAAGTCTGACTAAAAGCAGCTATCAGTGGGAATACGGCTCGAAGAATTTCGTCGCAGGCATGATTATCTATGCGACAGTAGTGTGGTCATTGAAGTTCAACAGTACGTGGCATGCTGTTTTCGAGGCCTCTTTCATGCTCAAACCTGCATTCATGCCACAACATATCTAATACATGATAGTGTTGTTTTTCTATCGAAGGCTGGTTGCGGGACAGTGGGTAGACAAGTTTATATTCCCTGTCATGGGTCTAGTTGGTGCCACGGCGGTTGCGATGGGTCTGATCATTGCCCTGACATGCCTCCCTCTCTCTCTCATGTGGCAAATTCGCCCAGATCCAGGAGGTACGTAAGCTTGAGTGGGATCCGAGTAGGAAGCATTAGCTTACAAGATCTGAAAAGAGAATTGTGTGCCACAAAACAAAATTTACTTCTACAGCATCTTCGTGATGAACGTCACCACAGATCTTTGCATAATTGCCATTCCTATACCCGTAAGTATCCCTCGGTCAAACCTGCAAACGGTCAGTTAATCATCAGTTAGGTGATAAGTCTCGTTAGAGCCTCGATTTGGCGCAGGATTGGAGTATATTTTCTTTTCAGCTTGGGAGTTTTCATCATGGTTGCTGCGACAATCCGTGTGGTTCTCATTTTTCACGTAAGACATACCATTCCCTCTTGGATTCCGAGATGTTGCTAATTATGCATCAAGCCTACAGGTGGCTTTGGCCCAGGGGCAATGTGGTCAATTCGTGAGGACTTCATTGCCATTTTCGTTGGGCAGGCCCCCATGGTGGTGCCTCTTTTCAAACGGAGAGTATGGGCTCAATTCTACCACAAGTACAAGTTCACACCGAAATCAAGTCAGGTCTCGGATGGTATAGAGTTGAGTGATGGGATTTCCAGCAACCACAACGACAAGAAGAAACCGAAAGATCCATACAGTCTTACACAGCTAGGGTTTACTCATGTTACAAATGCGACCCTTGGAACACGAAATGAAGCAACCTCAGTTGCCAACAATAGCTCAGAAAGTTCAGCGGTTGCGGTGGAGGAAGTTTACATGTTAGGTCCCATCAGAGACTTCGGGCCAGACTTAGGAGCCATAGAATTTGTCTCGAGAGAAGATCGGCACAGTCTCGAGATTACTGCTGTGTCCGATCTCCCCAGGGCCGAGACAATAAAATTGGTCAGCAAGAGAGAAGAGTTGTAATGAAAATTGGTATGCTGGAATGAGAAATAAAAATCTAGATATTTGATCTGAAAACAAGAAATTTCCCAATCAACAAGGAACGGGCTGTGTAGAAGCTCAAGCCCCCCAGAGCAACCGTTGAAAGATACAGACCCGACGCCCCTACTGAGCCCACCTTTTCCAAAAGGGAACCTCCTGCTGGAATTGCCGTGAGGGCACTGAAACTAACAAAGAATGTCATGGTACCTGAAATCACGTCAGTCAGACAATCATGAGCGAATCGGGGCGGGTATGGTTTGGTGCATCAACTCACCATAGTATCTTCCGTAATCTTTAGGATCGCAAGTCTTGCCCACACACACTAGTCGCAAACTCTTGTTAGTTCCAAAACGAAATCTCGAAACTGAAGATGCTAAGAATTCGCTTACCGGGAAGGATTGACAGGAAAGAGCCAGTGCAAAATCCCCACAAACCAGCAAATGCGTAGAGGATTCCGGCCGATTGGCCCCCGAACGGGACAAATAAGGCTCCAGTAAAGATCAATGAGAGACAAGTCATGAAAAGCATGACGTCGAAGTGGCCTACATAGTCACCCGCAAGTCCAGGCAGTAGGCGGCCTAGGCATGAACATCCGTTGAGGATTGAGACCAAGGTATAACCCATCGCAGATGGAAAGCCAGCCTTGACCGCAAAAGTTGGCAACAGCACGCCCACTCCAGTGATGGAAAACTCATACAAGAAGAACCCGAGCGTGATGAAGACGAAAGGCCCCGACCGAAAAGCGTCAAAGTTGAGTGCTGCTGATTTCTTCTTCGACGACACCGCTGAGGGTAGGATCAGTTTTGGAAAAGGCAAAAGCAAAACCATGCCAATAGTCATGAGACCTAGAATCACGAAGCCCATCACCCGGTTAGACCATGACCAGCCCAAAGCCGGGAAAGCCCTGCGGAGGACTAGTGGAAAGGTGATGCCACCCAAAGAAGCTCCAGCCATCGCTGCACCCATTGCCAGGCCTCGACGGCGGATGAACAGCTTGCCTACTGCTGATATTGCGACAGTTGAGGCTACCGCGGAGGCAATGCCTCCCAGAACACCTAGGCAGAGAAAAATCTGCCAGTAATTTTTACATTCGGAGAGAAGGAAGAATTTTGCGACGGTGAGCCCAACTGCAACTGGCGCCAGAAGCCTAGGACCATAGCGATCCATCAAAGGGCCGACCTGAAAGCCACATAATAGCGAAAGAGCTGTGTCTAAGCCCGTGATCCATCCAATATCTTGTGCAGAATAGTCGCTCAACTGATTTAGTTGAAGGAAAGATTGGACAGTCCCGATCGATTGAGAGAAGCCTAAATACCAATCAGTCCGGTCCAATCCATGGGTGAAAACGGGTACGGCCATCCTATAGTGCTGAACGTACCATATGAGCACATCAAGAATAGGCCAGCTGCACCAACACAGGACCATCGCAGAAATTCTGTCTCCTCACTCGCGGCATCATTGTTGACGTTGGAAAAATCATGAATATCGGTTTCTGGGTCGATTTGTATCGGTGCAATCGCCAATGTTGGGCCTGAAGACTCGCGTTCCCCCATGCTTGAAGGCTGAGAAAGCTAAGGTAGTTGGGAAAGAAGTAACTCGACTGAGGTAAACTTGTCGGCATGAAGTAATTGAGTACTTGTGTGTTTCGACAAGTCCATTGTCAAGTGGTGAGAATCAGAGCTTTTCATCAAAAACTTATGAAGCCAATAATAAATGTGATGTTTCTACCCGTAAGCGCACGCAAAAAATTTCATTGTGCGTCAGGCGCGCCCAACATCCTGCGAGAGGCGAAGACAAAGGCTTCGAGTAAGGGTCTAGAAGCATGCCGGTCTAAGTGACCCACTACGGAGACTTTTCCTCGCTTCTCGATTTGCCTCCTTTCATTCATTTGTGTTTTGAAAATCATCAGTGACTCTCGAACTCTAACATCATTTCACGAGATGACAGAGAAGCTGAAGCTATAAACCCCATGTGGCAGTTTTCAACGTACCTAAGAGTTGAAGTGACACGACTTATTTTCAGTAACCACATTCACCGCAATTGAGTTCAACCGCACGCGAAGGCCTGTGGTCCGGGTTCGGACCTAGACTTCACGTTGAACAAGCTTGCCATTAGTCGATGGGTCCGGCCATCGCGTTTCTAGTGTAAGGCGCACTTGACACATCCGACGTCGGGCCAATCATCGAGAGTGCTTTGGTGGATCCCGTGTCATTCCAACGCATGAAAGTGCGGATAGACTTCCGACGACTCTTCCACTCTTGAGCAAAACAAAGTCCAAGTCGAATGACTCCCCTGAGGGAACACCAATACACAATTCACGTTTGACATTGTTTCTTCATATCTTGATACGCCTTATCGATTCGATCACGCCCTATCAGCCCGATCTTTGGCAGGGGCTTTGACATCCTTGACAAGCCTTACTGCTTCCCCAGATTAAGGCCGGGAGATTATTGCTGTGGCTACGGTGGTGGAATTGAGACTCGACAGGATGGATAACTCGGATGAAGCTACTTCTTCGACTGTAAACCGATTCGTGAACCTCGCCGAAATTTCCCTGCCACAGGAGCCCAGGGCCAATCTCGCTATCGAGAACCTCGCCGTCGACGAAGCTCTATGTTTCACGCCCGTTGAACAATTTAGCGGTGAAAGCTCCCCGTTCGTTTTTGACGGATCCCTTGACTACATCAGCGATAATTTCGAAAGTGGATGGACGACACCCTCGACATCTTGTGCCAACTGCACCGCATGGGGCTACCAATGCCAGCTCCCACAACAACCCGAACCTCAAGACCGCTGTATATCTTGCGTTTCTCTCGGATGCAACTGTACTTTCTTAGAAACCACGCCGAACTTCACTGGAGATGTTTTCAACAACCTCATGACCGACAGCCGGACTGTTACAACCGATGTTCAGAACCTCCCGACACCAGAGACTTCAAAGAGATCAAGCGGCTCGTTCGAGCCACTCAACGTTTCCACTACATCGACTCCTCCTCCACCCAAGATTGGCACGAGATTCTCTCGCGACTCAACTCGAATCTTGAGACAATGGCTCTCCTCCCACAGCCACCATCCTTATCCAAACGACGAACAAAAGAAAATCCTCCAGCACCAAACGGGCCTCAGTAAGATCCAAATCACTAACTGGTTGATCAACGCTCGTCGTCGCGGAAAAGTACAAGGCCGTCATCGATCTACGTCACCATACTCGGGAAACTCTGGTACTGGGACAAGACCTATAGATGTCCCCGCGAGGCCAGGAACACCAGCTCCTAGAAGCAGCCCACACTATCAGGGGTTGAACCCGCTCGAGAGATGGGTCGACTCTCCTCCAGAACACGAGCCTGCTACTGTTGGCGACATTGCACGTGCCGTAGCATCTACTCATGCAGGATCATCAGGTAAGTTTTGTACTTTATGAACGGCCCTCCATTGTGTGAGTGTCAAATGTCGAGGGGGTATCTCAAAGCTGATCCCTTGTAGTCGCAGACGACAGCTTCAATGCTAGCTTCACCGATGAGCCAGCACGGTCCCTTTATCACACCTCGTCAGCTAGTAGCGCTGGAACCTCGAGTGGCGGCTCATTTGCTTCTGCCTTCTCCCATGCTTCCAAAGACTCTGCTTCCCTTCCGCGTCCCGCTGTTCGTAGTCGAGCACGGCAACGTAGACGTCCAAAGCGAACTTCTCTTGCACATCCTCGGAACCAGTACCAGTGCACATTCTGTACAGAGACGTTTAGAACGAAACACGACTGGCAGCGACACGAAAAGTCTCTCCATATGCCCCTCGAAAGATGGGTTTGCTCGCCTAAAGGGCCTCGGGCCGTCAATCCTGACACAGGCCAAACATGTTGTGTCTTCTGTGGAGAAGCCGAGCCTACTCAATCGCACATCGACAGCCACAATCCCTCATCTTGTCAGGAACGAACGTTCAACAGAAAGGATCACTTGAAACAGCACTTGCGTTTGGTACACAATGCTGGCCTTCTCGACTGGTCGGCTAAACTCTGGAAAATTACCATTCCAGAAATCGAGTCTCGTTGCGGCTTCTGCGGTGCATCTCTCGATACTTGGGGTGTCAGAGCTGACCATCTCGCGGATCATTTCAAGATGGGTTCCGACATGGCGAGTTGGAAAGGAGATTGGGGCTTCAACGATGCAGTTCTGGATATGGTTGAGAACTCTGTTCCACCTTGTAAGAGAACCCAAAACTGTTTCGCGGATGCCCGGACTAATGCGCCTTCCAGATCTCATCGAATATGAAAGATTCTCGCCGTTCCCCTATCAAGCAAGCGGCGTGCCTCCCGAGTCGCCCCGTAGCGCCTATGAGTTGCTCACGCTGGAACTCAATCATTTTCTACGACTATTTTTCGACAGAACAGGAAACTTGCCCAACAACAGAGAAATCCAATTCGAGGCTTGTCGAATCGTCTTTGCATCGGAAGTCTCATCTCCGGAAGTTGAAAAGGGTGCGAAACCCGAGTCGTGGCTGCGAGACTTGATTACCTCGTCAGAAGACCTCACTCGAGAGGCTCGATTTGGGCCGATAAGATCGCCAGCCGAAAGCATGATGTCTGTTCTTCAGATCAAAGGAAAGCGCAGTCTGTTTGATGAATGCCCCTGTGAATTGCAGCTTGATGCCTTTGTTGATAAGCACAGGCTACTTGGACCCAATGTTCTCAACAACCAAGAACTACAGAACGAGGCTTGTAAGATAGTCACACGTCTAGGCAAGAGTTGGGGAATGTCTCCGGCCGACTTGGTTGTCAACTGGCTAGTCAACCTCATCAGCTCATCAACTGGCTGGCTTACCGCGTTTCGCTTGAGAACACGTCTTCTTCAACACGAAAGCTCAAGTGCTCTACCTCCACTACGACTTTCTGAGAAAGACCAACAAGTAGGACTCGGAGATCTCATGAACGGAAGAGCTGCTGCAAATGAGCCTTTCGAGCCCCCGATTCCATTTCAACTCCAAGGTGTTCCTTTTGACAGAGGACTCTGGAGGAATCTAGCCATGCCGAATCAACGCGCTTGGCTGCAGGATACAGGAAGTGACGTTCTCCCACCATTGCTACAAGAACCTACTACCCAGGACGCTTCTCCAGCAAGCGATGTCGCCCAAGCTTCACCCGTGTCGCCTCTAGTCTCGAATACTCCCGACTGGCAGAGACCCGGAAGCACTGGACCAGATGGCCGCAGCGCACACCCGCAGTTTTCAACAGTCAAACGAAACTATGCGTTTTTCAATGACTCCAATTTCAATCGGTGGCTTGCTCTTGAGCTACGACGCTGGATCGCAGCAACCATGTCTCCCAACAACCCGAACAGTCACGTTCCGTCGGACCATGAGATTCAGCACCAAGCGCGATTCATTGTTTATGAAGAGTAAGTTCTGTCTCCTCGTCTTCTCTTGTAAGGGATTATTGAAGTCTGACTGATTTAGCGGCGACCCTTGGAATCAGACCTCGGCAGACAATCTTGAGTGGCTACACCGTTTCAAGCGCACCATCGGTATGCCGTCAGAGGAACCCCAAGACAACTTGCCAAGGGGGTCAACACGCGCCCCTCCCCTAAACCCCTCATGAATTGCAAGTTGTGTGAAGCTTCGTGAAGAGCTTCCGCTCAGAATATAACTGCTCCGAGAAACCTGAGCTCGAGGCACTTCGAAGCCACCCTCGCTCTCTTCATCAGTGCATTCATGACGTCGTGTGAAGTGTGTTGCGCCTGATTTTGGTAGCCGAAACCCTCATTCATAATTCGTTAATGAGTCCAGGAATTTATGGATTCGGAAAACCGAACGAGTCCAGTAATACATCGAGGACTGTGGCACTTGAGTGCCGAAACCCGTCTACCCGATCACTAATCGCGACTCTGAAAAAGACGATGTGGGGATTTCAATCTAGTTGCGGCTCGCAGGGCCAAGCAATGGTTCAACGGACGATCCTCAGACAGGGGGTCTCCAATCTTGTCTTTTCACACTTGAAGGGGATCCAAAAAGCGGCACGTTGAATACGCGAACTCCACTTGCATTGTCACTATCGACGAGTCTACGCTTGAAGTCATGTACTTCCTTCTAGGCTTGTCTGCCGTCTGCACGCTTCTCCGTTGGTCTTGTCGCGCTCTTGCTTAGTGGTTGAGCGTCTTGCCATGCTAGTGATGGTTCCGAGGGAATGCAACCCTCTTTTGGGAAGGTTAAGGTTGCAGAGCCTAAGAGGTTGATGGTAGTAAGCATGATGCCTTGTCCTTGTCGACCCCATTGGGGTTACCAAATGAGAATGGGTTTCTCGCTTGGATTATTCCTTCAACCATCTGGCCAGGTCGCGTGGACCCTGGCGCAGCCTTCACAACCCATCGCGGAAA